AGAGGTTAGTCATGGTTCACATCAACTCCAACCTACCAAATTGCCTTGATCCTTTGCAATCCACCTACCAGCACGACAGATCCACAGCAGATGCCATCTCCTTGGTCCTACTCTCATTCCCAGAACACCTGGTTAACAAGGATACCTCCATCAGGCTCCTATTTATTGACTACAGTTCTGCCTTCAACACCATAATTCCAAACAAATTCATCTCTAAATTCTGGGGTGGCATAGAGGCTGGGCAGCACGGTGTCTTAGTGGTTAGCACTGCCGCCTCACAGCGCCAGGGACCTGGGTTTGATTCCGGCCTTGGTCAACTGTCTGTGTGAAGTTTGCACATTCTCCCCGTGTCTGCGTGGGTTTCCTCCGGGTGCTCCAGTTTCTTCCCACAGTCCAAAGGCATCCTAGTTAGGTGGATTGGCCTTGTTAAATTACCATAGTTTTCAGGGATATGTCGATTAGGTGCATTAGCTCTGGGAAATACAGGTTTGGGGGTTGGGTCGGTGTGGGATGCCCTTCAGAGGGTCAGCGTGGACTTGTTGGGCCAAATGGCCTGTTTTCACACTGTGGGATTCGATGATTCTATGATATGATGATTCTGAGACCTAGGCCTCGGCTCCCATCCCACCGTAACCAGATCCCTGACTTCCTGACCCATAGACCACAATTCGTAAGAATAGGGTGCAACACCTCCTCCAGCATAATCCTCAACACTAGTGTCACGCAAGGCTGCGTATTGAGTTCCCTACTATACTCCTTATACACTCATGAATGTGTGGCCAAATTCCGTCCCAACTATACATACAAGTTTGCTGACGACACCACCATTGTAGGGCGGATCTCAAACAATGAGAGATAGAATATGGGAAAGAGATTGAGTGCTCAGCGACATGGTGTAAAGACAACAATCTCTCTATCAATGTCAGCAAAATGAAGGGGCTGGTCATTGACTTCAGGAAGCAGAGTGGAGGGCATGCTCCTGTTTGCATCAATGGTGCTGAGATAGAGATGGTCAGCAGCGTCAAGTTCCTGGGAGTGATACTTACCAACAATCTGTCCTGGTCCCCCCATGTTGAGTCAATGGTCAAGAAAGTACAGCAATGTCTCTACTTCCTCAGGAGGCTAAGGAAATTTAGCATGTTCTGAAGGACTCTTACCAATTTTTAGAGATGCACCATAGAAAGCATTCTATCTGGATGCGTCACAGCATGGTTTGGCAACTGGTCTTCCCAAAAACCACAAGAAACTACAGAGATCAGTGAGCATAACCCAGTCCATCACCAAACCAGCTTTCTATCCATTGACTCTGTCTATACTTTTTGCTGCCTCGGGACAGCAACCAACATAATCAAAGACCCCACTCACCCCAGTCATACTGTCCTCCATCCTTGTCTATTGCGCATTTCTGGAAACACATACCAACAGGTTCAAAAACAGCTCCTTCCCCGCCGTTATCAGAATTTTGAACAGACCTCTCATGTATTAATCTTTCTCTGCACCTTCTCTGTAGCTGTAACACTGCATTCTGCATTCGGTTCTTTTACCCTGATGTACTTATATAAGGTATGATTTGCCTGGATAGCATGCAAAACGGTGCTTTTCACTGTATCTCGGTACATGACAATAATAAATCAAATCAAACCAAACGGTCCTGATCAGTGCAAGATGAGAAACATCGGCAAATTGTGTCTTTTTCTCAGCAATGTCCTGTGGTTTATCAAGGTAAGTGCTCCTCTCTCTGATCTCACTGGTGTAGCTGATGCATATGCACTGACTTGTTTATCTTATTTAGGGGGTGGCAAACTTGTAACCTACCAACACCACCCCCATCTCTCTCTGCAGCAGTCCAGAAGCCCCATGATTAATTGTGGGCTGATCAATTACCCATTTGCATGCCACTTGCACACCTACTCACGAAACCATTAGTTTTTTTTATTCATTCATGGGATGTGGGCACTGCCGCCTATGCCAGCATGTATAGTGTATTTTCAAGTGCCCTTGATAAGGTTATAAGGTCAGCTCCTTTCTTGAAGTGCTGCGGTCCTTAAGATGTGTGGACACCTGTTACGGAGGGAATTCCAGGAGCTGAACTCAGAGATGAATTCAATAGCTGGTGGGGTACTGGTAATATCACTGGAGGAATAATCTAAAAACCCTAACCTGTGTTCTAGGTTAAATCCCAGCATGGCAGATGGTGAAATTTAAACTCAGCAAAAACGTTGAGTTAAAAATCTAGCTGATTGGGCACCAATTTTTGTTGTTAGCCCTAGCAACACTGTAGTCAGTGGTGAAATCTCTCTGCTGGTTGGAGTCATACTAGTGTGTGAAGAATTATGTTCATAGCTAGTTTAGAATTGTTAGTCAGGTTTGCAGTATAGTGCACCTGTGTATACTGGAAGTTACATATAATGCTACACAGAGCCCTATTCATGCACTGATCCTGTTTCAATTCAACAACATTGGTGATTTTTTTTTAAAAGATGACTGCTACAGCTAAAATATGGCTATTAATGTAAATTCAGTGACTGTCTGGCGAAGTCCTTTGTGGTCTCATGGAGTACACAGATTCGAGGGAAGTTCAAACAGAATATGAATAGGAAGGGTTTAGAGGGTTATGGGCCAAATGCTGGCAAATGGGACTAGATTTATGTAGGATAACTGGTTGGCATGGAGGAGTTGGACCGAAGGGTCTGTTTCCGTGCTGTATATCTCTATGACACTGTGAAAATTTGCTATGATGTGATATTTGATCTAGGTGAAACTTTGCATCACTGGAGATGGAACTAGCATCTCTTCCGTTTCCTCCCGCACTGACTTATGAGCCCTCCCCACACATTTTACTAAAGCAATCGTTCTTTGGCCAGATCAGAACAAGAACAAACAACCTTGGAAATATTTACTGCATCAATCATCAAAACTGCGACCTTCCCTATCTCCTGGATCTGTCTCCAGTGCAGCAAAGTTTCACTCAAAGTGAGTTATGTGACAGTTTGTGTAAAGTTGTATTCCCCAAACTGATGAAACACTGCCTTTCCCACCACAAAAGTACATGCCAACCTTATAACTTTTCTCCATAAAAAAAAACAAAAGTTTTTTTTTCAAATAGCAGGTTACTAACTTGCTACCAGAAAAAAATTCCTGCATTTAGTAGCATGTCAAAATACCCACAGACTTCCTTTCTTGTACCAGGGTGTGATGTAACATCATTACCTCTTTTGCAGTATATTAGTCAATCCCAGTTACTGTATAGCAAATGGAAAGATACAGTCCAGAAGAAATTTATCATGCCTGCCTTGACACTCCTACAGAGCTGCAAGTTATGTCCAGCCCTTTCCCCATATCCCTGCAAATACTTTTCAAGTAGAGATCCAATTCCCTGTTGAAAATCACCATTGAGTCTGCTTTCACCACCCTTTAAAGCAGTACAATACATATAAGAACTCACAAAAGTAATAAATAAAAACCCTTTTCATCTCTAAAACCAGTCATCCCTTTACTAATCTGGTAAATCAGTACATTATTAAGTTTAATTCAACAGTCATTTTATTTTCTTCTGTTGATATGATTTGAAATTCTTTTTTATAATGTAGAACCAATTATTTGTATGATGTTCAGGACACTAATTGTAACACTGAACACTGATTGGTAATCCAAACAAAGGTCCCAGCAAATATTTGTGGGTACAAGTTTAAAATTACATTTAGAGCTCGGTAATTCGAGGTGATGTCAGAAAGCATCTTTTTTTTCCATGATAATCTAATGCAAATAGATAAATTAACATTTTCAAAACCAGTTCATAGATTTGTTATTCAGGTTTACAGAACTGTGGCAAATAAATACAGGTAATGTATCGATCTGCAATGATTAACTGAAAGGTCCAAAGCAGGAGAATACTCTTCTCGTTATCTGTTCTTATAAAACATCAAATGGCTGAAATGAGATCTCAGGGTTTGAGGAATAATATTGATTTGCTTGAAGAGTTCTTTGGGATGGACTGCAACTTATGACTCATTAAAGATTTTGGCCAAAGAAACTGAGATGGCTGCCATTGTTCATGTAGTATAAATCCGCCAGATATTAAGGTTTAGTAAATTGTACTCAATGGTCACAGTTTTACTTTTTACACTTATGCGATTATTTTAGATTGATTCTTTGGTGATTGGAGCTGCATTTTAAGTTATTTCTTTTCTGTGTGGTAAGTATCTTTTTTTTAAATTTATTTACTCTGTAGGTGATGTATGCAAAGGCTTTCAATAAGTCTGCTTTTTCTGCAATTTCATTCTTATATAGGAAACCTGGACCATGGACAGCTGTAACCACGGTGTAAGTACACCTTGAACTCATACCACATGCCATCTGGATGGGCTGTCACATAGATAGTGTGATGAGTGAGGTGTGAAAACTCAGAAAGTTTGTTTAATCCAGATGTTCAGTACTCTTCTGGGAGAAGTCATTGATCTCAGGCCCATCACTTTGGAACCTTTATTATGTTAAAGGCACAGCATAAATGCATACTGTTGTTGCATCCCCTTACAGACAATAACCATGCAGTAGAACAGCTTCAAAGCTGAGCTGTTTAGGTTTCTAAATTAACGTTCAGTGGAAGTCAGATTCTCACAAATTATCTGTTTGCACTGTCAACCTCAATGACGAGCAGTACAAGGCCTGTTTATGAATTGTTACCTCATTAAAGATACAGTCTATAACGTAAAGCTGAACCAGTACATCTTTTGAAGCTGTAGCAAAAACATTCGAGTGAAAATATGGTTCACTAGTTGCGTCTCTGCCGGGACCTACGCAAAAGGACAATATTTGCATGATCTTGAGACTTTGCGCTTATTTGAATTAGAAACCAAAGTGCAGTTCTGCATGCGCATGATACTGCTGTCGGGTTGAGCAACAACGTCAACAATGGCCCAAAAAGAGAGAACTTCCTTTTTTGTGGTATCATGAACTCACATCAACCAGTTCTATTTGAGCAAACAGATACTTCCCCCCCTCCCTTCATCTCATCCCACCCCTCCAACACAAGAGCTCTTACATATATATCAGTACGATCTAAGAGGAACAAGAAATAATCAAAGAAGCGCAAACAGAACAGCAAGTGAAGCAGTGCCTCCAAGGCAAGTCAACCACTCGGAGATGCCTGAATTCGTGCTCCCTCAGAATACGTCAAGCAATTTGAAAGAAGCCCACTGCAACTGTAGCTCTACTGGAACTGAAGAGACAGAGAAAAAGAAAGCAAAGAATTTGTAAGTAATACTCTTACAAGGAGTTTCAAAATTACAGCATTTCTAATAATTTCTACAAATTGTATTATGCCAACATGACTGGCACTCCCTCCCAAGCTGAATTTTAACAGTAAATGTGCACATTTTGCAAACAACGTAAACCATTTTGTTCTGTTTTTTCAATCTAAACAGTATTTGAAGTCAAACTGAGTTATGGATACCTTAGAAAAGTCAGTTGTAATGTTTTTGAACAAGTATTTCTCATGTACATTGATATCTTCTCTGCTTATTGATAAAATTACATGCTGCAGAAAGGGAGGTGCAGATTACAATGCAAATTAGAGTCATACTGTACAATGAATACTTTACTGTTTATTATGTTAATCACATTATGAAAATATTACTCTTTTACTCGGATCCAAAATGGAAAACTAATGCAAATTACTTGAAGGCAAAAATGAAACGTCAGCAGTGCTCTAAGTGACTTCAACACAGAGCTTTTATCTATAAAGCATAGTCTGCCTACATTAGTCTATCTATATCTCAGGCCATTTCAACAACACATCTTCAGAGGTCACCTTGTTCCATTTTGTCTAAACCCGTATTTTCTTCACGTACTTTACTTCTGCTTCTGGTACTCTTCAGATGATTTACTGCTCGCTAACTGTATTCCATTTCTTTAAACAACATAGGATATGAACTTTATACTTGAGTAAAGCAAAACTAAAAGAAGGAAATATGATGAGCACATCTTGAACGGATTGCTTCAATTCTTTTAATTGTAGTTATTTAATCAGAAAATCTTCCTTTGACAATACTGACACTTGCTTTTCTTAAAATGATGTTTAGAACTAAGGACTTGAAGAGTCGGCTGTTTTCTGTATTACTGAACTCCAATTCTGAACATCCTTCCATAAACTTTCTACCCAGGATGTCAGCGAAATTGAATCTGTCCATTGGGTAAGTACCTCATTCATTCCTTTGAGTACTGAATTCTCTTTGACAAAATATTTGAGCGCAAGTTAAACATTGCAAAATTGTAATCTGCAGTGTGAGAGAGTCTAGAATGTACTTTTCATATGATAGGAATAAAAACATTTACTGACAGGGAAAGAAATGTTTCAGGTTTAAACTCATTTCACTAGCTAAGTCTAACATTCCAATGTTCTTAAAGTAACTTTATTCAGTCTATGCATCATCTTACCAAAGTAATAATCAGAAAATCTGTTCATTTTAAATAAGGTAAAAGTTGCTCTGAATTTAGGAATTAAATATTCTATGTTATTTCTTCTCTCTTTCCACAGACTGACTTATGAAGAAGCTATGCAATGGTCCAAGTCTTTGGACGTACTCCTGGCTGATCCATGTTAGTGATATTTCTTATTCTTTGATGAGTGCTAAAAAAGTATTACTTAGATTTTTTTTCTTTAAGACAATAAATAATGATTCGACTTGACATTTTCACTTCCTCTAGGTGGCCTTGCTGCATTCAGGGATTTCCTTAAGTCAGAGTTCAGTGAGGAAAACATTGACTTCTGGTTGGTCTGCGAGGATTACAAAAAAACCAAGTCTTCTTCAAAACTGGGCGCCAAGGCTCAACATATTTACTCAGAATTCATACGGAGTGATGCCCCAAAGCAAGTGAGTGTTTTTTCTTTCGTCAACAGAAATACTATATGGCCTAAACTGCATCAATAATGATAGATGAAAGAAACACAATGTACTAATCTGTAACTAGTTTAAATAAAAACAGGAACAAAAACAGAAGTTGCTGAAAAAGCTCAGCAGGTCTGGCAGCATCTGGGAAAGGGTCATCAGACCGGAAACATTAACTGTTTTTCTGTTCACAGATGCTGCCAGACCTACTGAGCTTTTCCAGCAACTTCTGTTTTTGTTCCTGATTTACGAAAACAGCTCCAATGGAAGTGGCATAAGTCCTTTGTAGTTGTATTGAGACTGGAGTCCCTTCACCATTTGTAAAAGTATGATAACTAAACCAAATTATGTCATTATGGTCCACTCAACTCAAAAGAAACCATCCCAAAATCTTTAGTTCATTTAGTTGCAATGATCAATGCCACAGTTTAAGAAAGTGTGAGTCAAGTCCCATCCTCACCTTGAGGGATACTGTATTCTATTCAACTATCACATGGAAAGAAGTATCTGCACTCAGAATAGTGCCTCCCAGCCACTATTTTAAACATTAGAACTTTAGTTAGAGACAATCTATGAGCAGACAGATGTTTTCAAGTACATTTTTTTTCAAGTGACCAATGGGACTACAGAGTTGGAATGAGTATTTTTTCCTCATCCTGAGTTTTTAACTCTAATTTCCCCCGGGGGAGCTAAATCTATTTGCAAAAATGTACCCCCAATTGAGCCATAATTGCTGTGATGAAGACTGAGTATAAAAATGACCAATTGCCAAACTTCAGGTCACTCCACAATCTGTAAAGTACAGGCTATCGTTGCATTCCCCATGAACACTGCTGAAATAAGCCAATGTGGAGTAGATCGCACAATAATCTGGACACAGCAGTTTGAACATGTCATAACTTAAAGTACAATCTTAGCTTGGGCTAGATTTGTGGGACCAGGGAAGCTGGACACTAAGGTACCACTTTCAAAGGCTTTCAAAGTACAGACTCTTATGACTCAATAAAGTGCCTCATGGCAGAATAGCAAATCATTTGCCTAGCTCTGTTTTGCAGAATTGAAATGACTATCAGACCATAAATGAATCTTCATTGTCCTAGAGAAAAAGACAGTTCTTTATGATAGGGGGTGATGCATCAGTTATTTAAACATATTCAATGCTGTTGGGGAAGTTGACTTATTCTCGTGATGTCTAGTGATCTCATCATCAGAGTTTTGGTCAGGATAAAGAAGTAAATTATTGACAGCACAATAGAGAAAAAAGGGAAAACAGAGAATGGTCTATTCAACTGATCTCTTCTTCATTCCATAGGTCAACATTGATGGTAATACACGAGATTTGGTCAGCAAAAGCATTCTACTGCCGACCCTTGCTTGTTTTGAGGCAGCCCAGAGAATTATCTTCAGCCTGATGGAGAAAGACTCTTATCCCAGATTCCTAAAGTCCGATGCCTACTTAAACTTGATAAACAAGGCACAGGGCAACAAGAGCCACAGCTAAATGAAGACTTCTGACCCAATAACAAAGAAAAGTATGAAAGTCCAATTCTGTATTGCTCATTCCTGAGTGCACCACAGTACTTCATAGAGCTAGAGAGTTGGATCTGCTGGGAAATATGAATTAAATCTGAAACTCGATATCAAGTGAACAATGACTCCGTATATAACACAGCTATGACAATTCAGATGAAGCGCTAGGACAGTCTTCAAGGACAAATGCTGTGCTTCCCAGTGCTCTGGCATATGTGTGTAATTGCAAACCTTCTCACCATTATCAAGACCATTGTTTTTCCTTCACACAAGAATTACACAGTGAACATGTAACAAATTTGTTTTAGTAAAGGGGCTGAATATTTTTGTACAGAGGAGCATGAACTGAGCTTTCCTGTTCGTGCTCACTGGATCTTAAACTGAAAAAATGCATTTCCTTTGATAGTTGCAACATAAGCTATGTGGCACAATTTTACCGGATGTTAGTGTAAGCCTCCCAGTACTGAATATCCTGATGCACAATCCTCCTTATCTAATGTAACATAACATTCTGATGCAGAAAGAAGTTACTTGGGCGAAAAGATTATTTATTTATTATTTTATTTTTTTCTAATATTAAATGAAATGTTCTGAGAGTAGCATTATTGCAATGTCATGAGAAAGCCTGTAGATTGTAGATTGTGCTAAACCTGTTGTTGCAGTTAAAGACAATATATGACCTGAGTTCATTAAAGCACTTTGGCATTTTGGGTAGTCTGCAACTTTTCACCAGCAACATGTTGTCTTGTGAAGGTTATTGCTATATGATACAGTGATGGTGACTGCTACAATTCCTGAACCATGACCACGGTCTCCAGAAAACAACTCATCCATTGGTGCCTCTTCTGATTTCTGGGATTGAAAGTCGTTACAATTTCTTGAATAAAGCTAGATTATAGCCTCTGCAAGCTTTCAGAGCATAAAATAACTTACCTCAAGCTTCATTTGTGAAACACCTAAAGTATATATCTTGGATAGCATCTTCTACACAATAAGACAGATGTCAAAGCAATGTAATCAGACCAAAATTAACACACAGGCACAGAAGGATGAGTGATCAAATGTTTTGTGAAAAAAAATTACACCTACTATGTCTGCTTTGGTGCTTTTGATGAACTTATTTCTGGAAATTCCAATGGTCATATGATCAACAACATAATGATCAGTGAATTGTAGGAAATGGTTTGAAATCTGAGTATTCCTGATAAAATAGTATCCTTTGCTGACAAGGAAATTATAATCATCACTGTTCCTGCAACATTACCAAAAGATATTTTCAATGGATTGATTGAATAAATGTTGGTATATCCTGGCATTTTATTCTTTCTAACCTCTGATGCTCATGAACAGAAAATAAAATATTTGTTGTTGTAATTAAACTGTCAATACTATTCATTCTTCTACTAATCTTGGCTGCATTCTTACCTAACAAAGTTTTTTCTGTCGATAGGGAATTAAGAGTAGAAGTTTCTTCATAATGTTTGATGAGTTCAAAGTATGTTAGAGATTTTATATCATTTATGATGTTTCCTTTTGGAAGATTCCATTGGCCACTGTGATGTCTAGTTGTTTAGTGATCCAACTCATGCTAAAGCATTAATGATCATCAAGTAATCAAAGGCCATAAATTGTGTTATAAGCAATAATTAACTTATGGGAGCTAACATACTCAGCGGATGTTATATAATACTGATAGTCAATACAATATGCTTCTGGCCTAGATTTTCCTTTGTCTATTAATTTTACAAAATAGTAAGAATATAAATTGTAGCCTAATAATTAGTTCTTTGAAGATCTTGAGGCACAATAGGTAGTTTCCTTGCCTCTGAATCAGAAGCTCTGTGTTCAAGTACAAATTAAGGACTGGATTGCCAAGGAATTTGGATTCATAATGTGGCCAAGAAGGTTGATTATTGACCTGGAAATCCTTCCAATATATGCCAACGATGGCAGAAAAAGCAGGAGAATTTTGTCAACTATGTGACTGAAAAAAGTGCTGAAGCCTGTACCATTACTATTCCTGGCTCTAGATTACAACCTGCATATAAAAGAACATGTTGTCATGGCAACTTGGGCAATCCTGAGTAATCTGTAACACATCACCACTTAATTCCTTACTGCACTGTATGTTATTTTATTATCACTTCTATTTCCTCAGTGTGGGATTCTGTTTCCAAAAAACACAATATGATCACAACTGAAAGATAGTAAGAACTGCAGTTGCTAGAGTCAGAAATAACACAGTGTGGAGCTGGAGGAACACAGCAGGCCAGGCAGTATTAGAGGAACAGGAAAGCTGACGTTTTGGGTCGGGACCCTTCTTCAGAAAAGCCTTTTCTGAAGAAGCGTCCCGACCCGAAACGTCAGCTTTCCTGCTTCTCTGATGCTGCCTGGCTTGCTGTGTTCCTCCAGCTCCACACTGTGTTATCGATGATCACAACTGGGCGTTTATGTTGATTGCCCACCACAGGCTGTAGTAATGATGAGCGTAAAGACTATTGGCTTCCCTATACACCACTGCATGCAAAAGCTTCCTACCTCTCCTCTGTGTCACCCTCCTGATCAGACCAGCTACCAAAACCACGTGCAAGCCATCAGCAACTGCACACAGGATAACAACCTATTCCATATGTAAAACATGAACAATAGTAGGGTGTTACATGTAACGCACTATGATATAGTCAATGTACAGTATTCTGTAAATCAACAACTTATACTTACATTCTGCCTTTAATGTAATGGAATATCGCAAGGTGCTGCACAGTAACAGTATCACCACAAAATATGATACCGAACTACATAAGCATGGATTAGATCAGATGATTAAAAGTCTGATCAAAGACATGGGCCTTAATAGATGTCTCACAGAATAGAATCATGGAATTGTTACAGCACTAAAGAATGTCATTTGATCCATCACGTTCATGCTGGTCCCTCTTAGTAATAATTCACAACAAACTCTTACTTCCTCTCCCCACATCCATACATATTCTTTCTCTTCAAGTATTTAAAGTGTCTTAAAGAAGAACAGTGCAGTAATAGAGGCAGAAAGAAGTACGGAGAGTATTCAGAATTTGAGGCCTAGGCAGCTGAAACCATGGTCAGTAATGATGAAGTAATTATATCACAGATATCTCAAAATGGTGTGGGGTTGGAGGAGATTCCAGAAATGCGGAGGAGCAAGGAGTGGAATGATTTTGCGAATTATAAGACCAAATCATGGCTTGTTTGGAGGCCAGTATGCAAAGGGTTGTTAAGGGAATAGGACTTGCCATTAGACATGGGCAACAGAGGTTTGGATGACATCATGTTTACGGAGGGTAGAAAGTTGGACATCAGCCAGAATTTCACTGGAATAGTCAAGACTAGAGATAAAGAGAGCAAGGTTGAGGGTTTCAGCAGCAAATGAGCAGAGACAGAAAAAAAGTTGTGCAATGTTCCAAAGATAACTGAAATTAAAGCTTATTTTTACTACTGTTAACGTTTTATTAACCAATGAAATTCTCTACACGGAGAAACATACCAATGACTTGACAGCTTTTTGTTACATGGGACAATGGTTTGCACCATGTACTGTAAGTTGAAAGTTGCTGGGTACAGCTTAGGGAGCTGGATTTAGCCCATGAAGATCGTGCCATTTGTACAACTTCAAGTTCTAGTGGTACACTGAGATTTCAGTTAGGTGTGTTCAGCCAGATTCTACAGTCTAACATGGACAACATGGAAAAACACATCTTCCATGAAGCCTAGTAGGGACAATGATGATAAATGTCACAATCCCTGAAATCTTATCCTTATGCAGGGTCACAATTGCTATATTAAACATATTAAAAGCACTGTTCCTTCCCTAGACGGTGAAGTTTGTGCAGATGCTGCAAAAGTCTGGTTTCCACTGGCTGACAAAGGCAAGCAATATAACATCGGCACCTGGAGCCTTGCCCATGACAAGACCATCAATAATTTTGTGAAACCTCTAGATTCGATATCAAAGTCTTGTATGGCAGAGTGGTTCCCTATGATGTCCCGAGCTTCCTCAAGACTGTGTTCTCCCCAAAGTACCAAGGTAATGCTCTATCCATCTCTCAAACTGTTTATAACAGTTGGTAATGACCTCTACTGCCTCTGTTTTCAATTGAGTCATTTTCTTTGCTGATGAATGCGTTGCCCTTCTGATGCCTTCGTACATGTCCCCCTAGCATTCCATGTGTCAAAGGACATTTGGATATTCTAGTAAAGTTGTGACCAGTAGTCATTGACACACCACATAGCACTCTGTTAGATTTTACTTCAGCAGGACTTAAAATGTTCGAGTTTCGCTCACTCAGAGGTGTCCTGTAATTAATGAGACCAAATTGCTTGGTTTTAATGATAAATTAGCTGCCGAGATATTAGCGTCAAACTAGTCATCATTTTTCTGTCTGCTTCCAATATATGGAGGATGATATTGTATTTGGTATCTGAAATATGCTCTACTTCACTTGTATTCTGTGTGAGAATTTTGGAAAGTACCTGTTCATTCAAATCAAGGAACAGTTGGCTCTTATCTAAGAAGGCAGAATGGCTAATTTTGAAATACATTTATCCTTTCTGCTTTGAATGTCATGGATTCAAGGGTTACATTCTATCCAAAATTGTTCTTGTTTATCTTTCTCAGGCAATGATGTTTAAGACCCGAGGACCATGCCTCATGGTCTGTGCCCATTCTTGGGTTGAAATCCCCCCACAGGTAAAGACCCACTGACTTCAGCATTCTGCTACATCAGCATCAATCTTCTGATAGAACTGGTCTTTCATATCTGTAATCACAGAGAGAAGCGAGCTGATAACAGCAAAGCATACGCTTTGCTAAGGCGTGTCATATGAACGTTTCCCTTGTCAGATGAATATATAATGTGTTTTTTCAGTGACCCACTCTGGGCATGCCTGGTATCTGACAGGGAGGCTATGCCAATATTCATCCACGTCATCCTCAGCCATTTTGACCATGTTATCACCAGGGGCAAGTCTCTGTCAGGACCGTGCACTTGGTCATGACATTCCAGCTTGCCAACCAAGGATTTGGCATTTTCTTTTTGTTTGGTTTGTTTCTTTGCTTGTAGTGATGGATTCATTTCACTAAGCTACCCACTGAATCATGCCTGCAAAATGACCTTATTTGGGATTAACATCCTTCAATAAAGAGGAGAGGCACAGTCTAGTTTTGTACTACAGCTGCAGATTTCTAAATGACTTGCATACATGGCTGGAAACTGTTCATCATGAAAAGTACGCAAACTTTCAGACAGCTTTCATAGTGGTCCTTTCAAGCTGAATTCTCATAAAAGTAACTCAGTGCCAGGAAATAAAACAGCAGGACGTTTTTGTGTTTCTTGTGATTAGCAAGTTAAAACGATAAGATCACAACTGATCATTTTTGGTTGGTTGGCTATCGTGACATCCAGAATAGCAAGGTTAGGACAGATTACTTACCTTCTGTTATTGCTCAGTTCATTAAGTAGGCTGTGTCTCAGAACAACTAATGGTGCGATCGTAATTGCAATTTATTGCACATATGCCTGGACTCCTTTCCTGGAAACCATGTGACTCCTTTGTCTTTCAAAAACAGATTAATAAACATAGCTGATAAATGATAATTGAAAAAGGTGTTCATACTGTATCCGTGAACCTGTGAACTGAATTTTCATTTGCAAGTGAGTGGGAAACAGGAGGGGGAAGCAGACACTCGCTGGAATTTTGACTGGGGTGCTTGGAAACAGGTTCCCTATCCAATTACAGGGTGGTGAGTAGGGTCCCAAAGCTGCAGGATCAAACAAAGACACATGAGCTGCAGTAATTCATAAGTAACTGAAGGGACTTTTCAACAAGGAGGTACCATCTCAGTCACTTTTAAGAATTTGAAATAACAAAAACAGCCACTGTCAGGGTTGGTGGTGGATGTTCCTTCTACAGGGAAGCCTTTATCTATAGCTAGCTCCAGGTAGAAAGGATCAGCTTCGAGGCCTGCCGAGATTGTTAGCTCCCTGGCTTGTCACAGGGCGCCCACCACCAGGAAGCCAAACTGTGCCCCTGTCATGTCGGAAAACTGGAAGCCAATAGGAAAGTGTCTTTCGGCCTCCATTACTCACCCCTAAAGCATTAACTGGTTGCCTAGCTTATAGGTGTAAATGGCCAACTTTGGAAATGGTGCTGGAAAACCAGCATGCTGCATTTTTAGGCCCCTATCGACTGCCATCGCCAACTTCAATGGGGTCTGCAAACCATGCCAGTTACTGTCACATCAGCTTTATTGATTGTCAAGATATTGGAAATCACTCTAGTCACGTTCCTGTAAACTGGATTTTTCCATCAGTTTTAATCAGAATACGTAACTACAT